TTCATATAGTAGCAATGCCTTCGTTAAAACCGTACTTAAAGCATCAACGCACATAAAGTACTGATTCACTATCTGGGTAATCCTAAAATTTTTAAAAATCAGACCATTCTATTGCATGGTGTCACACACATTAAAATGCTGCTTACAGAGCAAATATGATAACCAGCTTCAATTGGACGTAAATTCACTAAGGTTATAAATATGCTTACTGTTCTAGCACAACTTTCGCGCTTTGTTTGTATGTCGGGAAAATGCCTGCGAAATTTACTCAGTGAGTTGATACTAAATGTATCTTCCAGATAATATAAGACAAGAAAATACGTTAAGACTGTTAGAAAACTTTATGTGCATAGAAGTCACAGAAGCACGTTAGATAGATTTGCAGATACGGATTTTTCAACTGCCTAACGGTGAAATATAATTTAAAAACTTTTTGCAAAAATGAATTCAATATCCGACAATAAAAAACACAGCAGGTTTCTGTCACAGTAAAGAGCTATCCATAATTGTTGCGCAATTAGATCACACACGATTCCCATTTGCTGAGAAACTCCTGTACATCAAATGTATATGGTGTCTAGGGCGGTAGTTTGCGACTGGCTCCAACTCATCGCTGATGCTATCTCTACATGTGATATATTTACTGTTGTTAAAGTTAATTTTTTGCGCAAGCTGGATATGAGTAGGGTGCTCTAAGGCGAAAGCCTTCGTCCCTCCATAAAATGCATATAATGACTTTTACTTGCCTAAAATGTGACCAGGTCTGAAATATTCATATTGCTTTCTGGATCATTATTTACTGTGTCTTCAATCGCCTTTAGGAAGACACCGAATATTTCTGTATAATTGCACTAGGCTTTCCGATTCACATATTGGCCAGGTTCACTACCGTGATTGTGATTGGTTTGTTTTAATGGACCAATCATGTGGTTTTCAAGGTCGTCAACAGTTTAAGAAATTCGTTGAACAGTATTCGCCTGCATTTAAACATGGGCAATGCCGCCACGTCTAAAAGGGGCGAACCAGCCGATGGTAGTTTTGCTTCTTTTTCTCTAGACAAAACTATCCATGTTTCATTGTACATTTATATTGACGCTATTTTATTTGTTTACAGTTAAAGCGTTTTTGGACGATGCTAAGAAAGACTTCCTCGAAAAGTGGGAAAAGCCATCGCAGGTATTTCAGTTAAATGAATTTTGCTATTTTAAAATTGCTCGTTTAGAATACCGCATGCCTTGATGACTTCGATCGGCTGAAGACTTTGGGGACGGGCTCTTTCGGTAGAGTGATGCTTGTGCAACATAAAGGCAAGAAAGATTACTATGCAATGAAAATTCTGGACAAGCAGAAGGTAATAAAATAGCTTCTGTGATAATTGTTAGGTTGTAAAACTCAAACAAGTCGAACATACGCTGAATGAAAAGCGGATATTGCAAGCCATTTCTTTTCCATTCCTAGTAAAACTGGAGTATCATTTCAAGGTTTGTTTGTTATTACTATTTTTGCTCCAAGATTCTCATTTAATCCCGCTTATTGCATGCATCATTTTGTCAGAGCACTTAAGTCGTCATTCGCACTAGTTGACTTTTTAATGTAACAATTATAATTGTTACCCATAGGTTAACCTGAAACTTATCATTGTCTCAAGGCGTCATTTTAATGGGATCAATTCGGTCAATTATTGTAGATATTTTAATGTTTTCTGGTTACATTCTTATAGATAAACTAATAGCGTCCTTCCGAAATTCCCTATATAATAGCGAGAAATTTCTCTACTCATATGCTATGTCTTGAATTTATGCTTTTTCGTCACCAGCGATCGCCTCGAGTGCCCCAATGACCTATTAGCATTTCCGTGTTTTTCTAGGCATTTAATGCAAATAAGCATCGGCTCATTCGTGCCGTTATCGTTATAATTACGTTCAATCGACTAGTTTCTAGTTATATTCTCTAGCCCTCTATCTTCGCTTTCAGGATAACAGCAACCTCTATATGGTACTTGAATTTGTAAATGGCGGTGAAATGTTCTCACACCTTCGAAAAATCGGCCGATTCAGGTATTTTAACGTTTTTAACTGCAGTCTCATTTGCTATCGCTTATAAACTGTGCTTATAGCTTTAGCTTGCGTTAGACACCACCAACGCGTCGGGAGGATTAATTTAACCAGTCTGAACTTACTTAGGAAATTACCCTCCGACAGCCTAAACCAACTGACCACAACCTGTGAGCTGCAAATGCCAAGCTGCGCGGTAATGCGCGCTTTAAGCTTCTTGTCTGGCATATTTGCGCTTCCGAAATCGACTAATACATTTAACGACCGAAGCGACTAACGTTTGCCTAGCCGGTTACTTTCAAGTAACAATTCCAAAAGTAATTTTCATTTCTTTTGTCTGTATTTCAACGTATTGGCGTGGCCTTAAAGAAGGTAACGTGACTCCGTTTTAACTGCCATTTTGCGTTTTTGGTTCAAAGTAGACCTTCGTTTATAATTTGGACTGCAGAAGGCGCAGTCGCTTCACATATAGTTATTATGAAAAATAAATCCTGCTAAGGTGAAAGTGTATTCAGTTTATTTAATTGATTTTTTCAGTGGTAGTTTGAGCCATTACTGAAAGGAAACAAACAAGGGTTCTTAACACTTTTTCTTTACTACGGCAGCCGCTCCGGAGTTTTTTCATCGAATCTAAGTCATTTTCCCATTTTTCTTAAAATTTAACGACTGTCACATGTTTATTAAAGATAATGCATTATCAATATTGCACTCATGTAACATATGAGTGTTGAAGTATTTCAGTTGGGTCCCTTCTTTCTTCTAAATAATGTCTTCTTATTTCAGTGAACACCATGCGCGTTTCTACGCGAGTCAAGTAGTACTTGCATTTGAATATCTGCATCACCTTGAGCTGGTTTATCGCGACTTAAAACCAGAGAACATCCTCATTGACCAGCAAGGTTACCTGAAGGTAGGTATTTTTTTTCCTAATGAAGATGCAAATCTAAAACAATTTTTGTGCACAAATCTAGTAAACCGCTATCCACAGCGATTGGTTGGGTCAATGTTGTGCAAAATAGCAGCTAAGTATTATTCACTTGGTTTT